TAATTTGGTTTTTAAAATAATTTTAAAAAGAAACGGCCAATAATGAATATTTCATTTTAATCATATTTTAAAATTAGTATTATTGTATTAGTTATCTGTTTTAACTGGCTGTAAGCCGCCCTGAGTCCGTTAGGAGAAGGGCGGGGTATAAATTTGATAAATAAATAAATAAATAAATAAATAAATAAATAAATAAATATAAATAAATAAATAAATAAATAAATAAATAAATAAATAAATAAATAAATAAATAAATAAATAAATTTTGTGAGCTACTCCGAGCTCTCGGGAAAAGCCCCTGTACATCTCACTATGGGTCTCTCTCCCCTTGTGTTTAGCCCACTTCAGTTCTTTCTTTCTCAAAATCTAATGGGAGACTGGGAATTTGGAGAGCGCACATCGCATGATTTTGTTGATGGCCCTTCTGCGTCACTCATTCCTGCCCTCTTTTCTATTTTCAGCACGAGCTTTACATCCGAGCCTTCCAGAAACTGAGTGAATTTCCCCCAGTAAGTATCGTTGGCAACAAAAATGTTTATTTTTGCCATTGTGAGCTGCATATACATTCTTCAGCTCATCTACCCCTTCGTGAAGTTTCAGATTGTTCACTGACTCCCCACAACATTTATTGTATGAAATTAATTTAATAATTATTACTTTAATTAACAACCCACATTCTTCTGTATTGCCAGTTCTACAGAGATATTCGCCACAAGTTGATTATACCTCTTTTATTTAATTTTCTGGGGGACTTTAATCATTTTTATCTACACTGTCTGTGAAAATAATAATAATAATGATGATGATAATGATAATGATAATGATAATAATAATAATAATAATAATAATAATAATAATAATAATAATAATAATAATAATAATAATAATAATAATAATAATAATAATAAAGTTGTAAGGGACCTTGGAGGTCATCTAGTCCAACCCCCTGCTCAGGCAGGAAACCCTATACCATTTTGGACAAATGGCTGTCCAGTCTCTTCTTAATAACTTCCAGTGTTGGAGTATTCACCGCTTCTGGAGGCAGGTTGTTTCACTGGTTAATTGTTCTAACTGTCAGGAAATTTCTCCTTAGTTTTATAGGTTGCTTCTCTCCTTCATTAGTTTCCACCCGTTGCTTCTTGTCCTGCCTTCAGGCGCTTTGGAAAATAGGTTGACTCCCTCTTCTTTGTGGCAGCCCCTGAGATATTGGAACACTGCTATCGTGTCCCCCCTCGTCCTTCTCTTCGTTAAACTAGACATACCCAATTCCAGCAACCGTTCCTTATATGTTTTAGCCTCCAGTCCCCTGATCATCTTTGTTGCTCTTCTCTGTACTCTTTCTAGAGTCTCAACATCTTTTTTACATCGTGGTGTAAAATAATCAAGGCAAATTTATTTCTCTAAAAGTAGCCAAATTTTGCTACATGCTGTATAAGCTTTGCCCACAGATGGTTGCTAATAGTTTTTTTTGTTTTGTTAGTAGGGGATAGTTTTGTGTTATTCATTTTATTGATTGTATTTTTATTGCTTCACTAGCTGTACCCGGCCACGCGTTGCTGTGGTTCAGTCTGGTAAAAGCGTATGTTGCTTTTACGTCCAACAGATGGCGCTGTTTTTCAAAAAAAGCGTGTTTTTACCTGTCACAGGGGTGACATCTATATAATAGTAGGTATATAAAAACACGCGCGTATTCGAATGCAACGTTGTGTCAAAATTTCAAAGCAATCGGTGAAGAACGTTCGGAGATTTAAGATTTTGAACAAACGAACATTTACATTTTTATTTATATAGATGACTAAAATAAAATTGTGTCTACTGTAATTAATAGTACTAATAATAGTAGTTAATAATAACTACTTTCCCAATAATAATGGTATTGGCTCCTTGGCATCAATATTGTCCATGCTGGGGAATCCCGCCCTATAGCCAGGAGAAGAAACAGCATATATATTTCAAAATAGATTAAAAAATAGCCGCCCAGAACCACTTGATAATGGTATGGGCAGCCAATAAATTTAATAAATAAAATAAATGACATTGGTTAAATTGAATTGTACTGTTGGCTTAAGACCCTGACAAATTAAACAAGTCCCCCCCACCCCGTTTTAGACTACGTGGTCGTTCAGTAGCCCCAGTTCCCTCATTGAATGCTTTCCCTCCATCTTTTCTTCTATGTTAAAAGATCAAAGACCAAGAATCAGAGGCCCAGTACTGCAAACTGGTCCGACAGCTCCTGGATGACCACAAGGACATTGTCACACTGCTGGCGGAGGGCTTGCGGGAATGTCGCAAACACATCCAGGTAAATGGGAGGATGTTTGTCCAAGTTGGTGAAGCCGTTGGGCAACAGCCAAAGAAGTCAGTGGTTGAAGGCCTTATTTTGAGAGGGATGGAGATAAGGCTGGCAAAGTTTCAGGAGATTGTGAAGTCAAGAGGTAACTTCTCCATTACCAGTGAAATGATCCTTCTTCTCAGAAGGATGTTTGGAAGAAATCCCCAAAATCTTCCCCCTCATGAAAACAGGGATGTGTTTACTTCAAGTGGGAAATAGTTGAATTGATGGGATTCTTGGAAGTCTATCCAATAAACTGGATTTTCTTCTCAATAAAACTTCACAAGAGATTTCCATAAGAATTGGGCTTGAAATCCCCTTCATATGTAGATGATGCCTGATAGGAATTTAGAAGAGTTAGAGCAGGGGTCTTCAAACTCGGCCCTTTTAAGACTTGTGGACTTCAACTCCCAGAATTCCTCAGCCAGGCATGCTGGCTGAGGAATTCTGGGAGTTGAAGTCCACAGGGCCAAGTTTGAAGACCCCTGAGTTAGAGCAATGTTTCTCAACCTTGACAAAGGGTGGACTTCAACTCCCAGAATTCCCCAGCCAGCCATTCTGGCGGGGGAATTCTGGGAGTTGAAGTCCACCTTCGTCAAGCTGCTAAAGTTGAGAAGCGCTGATTAGAGAATAAGTTTGTGAGGAGAGACTATTTATCCAAACCTGCTCCGTGCTATAAAACCTTTCCGATTTCACTCCTGTCGCTATAATCATCTGAACCACCGAGTTAATTTTGGGGAAATGGATGATATAATGAAGGCAGCTCATTCTTGGATCTCTCTTGGAGGGAAAACATTTCAATCCCACCTGCGCCTGTTTAAAAGAAAATGCCCCTCAAGGGGAAGAACGTTTGAGGAAGATTGAGTGGGAGGAAAGGTTTTTCAGTTGCTTTGAATCTCAGAAGCTCTCCTGTTTCTTTCCAGGACGAGAAGGTGATCCGTTCCTTTCTGGACAAGACCCTCACATCCCGCTTAGGCATCCGGATGCTGGCTACTCACCACCTGGCCTTGCATGAGGACAAAGTACAGTCTTTCTTGAATTGAACTGAGGTTTTATGATCAGGAAAATTAGATCTGTTCCCCCATCCAAGCCAGCATTATGGCTCAGCCCTATAATAGCCTTTTTTCCAAAAGGTTTTTCTTGGCCTTGGATTGGGGGGAAAAAAATCCTTTAATCTAGGACTGGCTGCAAACATGGTCAACCAGAGTTTCTCCAAGGTTAAAAAAAAACAAAACACAAGCCTTGTGACTATCCCAAAAGTGCTTTTTTTTTTCAGAAGGACAATGGACTTTGTTTTTCCTTGAAGAAGTTTCGCTTCTCATCCAAGAAGCTTCTTCAGTTCTGCCAGGTCACAGGAGGTTGGCAGCACCTAGCCCAGTGATGGCGAACTTTTTAGAGACCGAGTGCCCAAACTGCAACCCAAAACCCACTTATTTATCACAAAGTGCCAGGGCCGCATCAGCATTGTGGTGCCCTCGGGGAGGGGGAGACAGGGAGGGGCCTCTGAGTGCCGCCTCTGGCATGCAAAAACGAGCCGCAAAAATGGACCGATATGCTGCAAGGCGCAAAAACGGCTGCCGCCATGCCGTGGGGTGCAGATACAAGGCGCTGCACCATGCAAGAACAGGGCAGGGTTAGTGAGTATCACGCAGGCACTAGCCCCGCCCTATTTGCAGTGTGTGCATGCTCGTGGCCCCATGTGTGCACGCACGCATGTAAAATGCTTCCCCCTCCCTTTTCTTCCAATCCACCAGTCGACAATGGTTGGTGACCTCTGCTTTATCACCTCTACTCGAGGTTGCTAGTCAGCCGCTTCACCTCCTTTGTGCTGGGCGGGGCTCCTGCTCCGGGCGGCGGTAGCAGCCTGATGGACCTGCTACTGGTGGCGGTGGCAGGCGTGCCAACAGAGAGGGCTCTGAGTGCCGCCTCTGGCACGCGTGCCATAGGTTTGCCACCACTGACCTAGCCAATTTTGGTTGATCTTGGCAGCTAAGCCAGGTTGGAGGGCAGGCCACTAGGAAATCTTAGGGTTGTAGTAGGCCAAAACAAGAAGACAAAAACTGCTGGAAGAAGTAGTAGCAACTCACCTTTGCGTTGTTGCCAAGAATACCCAGATCAAGTCTGGTTGACTCAAAGTTTCTTCCTTTTTCAAAAATTCACATTGCCATTCAATCTTCTCAAAGTAAACATGTCCTCAAACAATGTTCCACAAAGTTTCTCGTTTCTGATCATCCCTACTAACCTTCCTTAAATCTGTGCCATTCGCCCTAATCCTTCCCATGCTGTGGTGCCCAGACTGTCACAAATTAAATTAGAAATATTATTTTCCTGATTCGGAAATTCTGTCTCTTTGGACACCTCCAAAAGCATTGATAACAGTGAAAGGAATTGGCCATTTTCAGCAGTTTGCAGACCTTTTCAGCAATGAAGAATTCAGAACAGAGGTGGATTTTGAGAAGTACAGAAAACAAAGTTGATTCTGTGGGCAGCTTGAGAATAGGGAGGAAAAAAAAGTGGAATTCCAAGTTCATAGAAAAGCATGAAAAATCAGAATAGAAGAGAGAAGAGCAAAATAAATAATAATAATAATAATCTTTATTGATTAGCCCTTGGGCCATATCAAAGTGCAAAGTTCCAACAACAAATCATTACCAAAGTCTAATAAAAGCAATTTAAAATAAAATTTGATAAAATACAGTTTAAAATGGAACTAGAATAAAATATGACTTAAGATGAAATTGGAGTAAAATACAGTCTAAAATAAAGTTAAAATAGAGTACAGTAATTTAAAATATAGATAAAATATGACAGCAAAATAAATAAGAAAAAGAATGATGTATTTTTTCCACTGTTCCAAGCAATTCTTACAACTTCTTCTGCTATGTCCACTTTCCATTCTTTCTGTAGGAAAATTCATCTGTCTTGTAATGTTTTATTCTAAGGACTTTTCTCCTCCTGCAGTTCTATTATTTATTATTTATTTCAAATAATAGAATAGAATAGAATAGAATAGAATAGAATAGAATAGAATAGAATAGAATAGAACAGAACAGAACAGAACAGAACAGAACAGAATAGAATAGAGCTGGAAGGGACCTTGGAGGTCTTCTAGTCCAGCCTCCTACTCAAGCATGAGAACCTATAGCACAGACATGTCCAAAGTCCGGCCCGCGGGCCATTTGCGGCCCGCGTTCCGGTTTAATCCGGCCCTCGAACAGCCCTCCCTGCTCTATGTAAATGCGGCCCTCCCACGGCCCTCCGGCAAGTCCCATGAGAGACAGAGACAGAGACAGAGACAGAGGCACTTGCACTTGCACTTCTGTCTCTCTCTCTCTCTCTCTCTCATGGGACTTGCTCCCTCGCAGGGCTCCTCATTGGCCCTGCGCCCGGGTGCCCCGCCCCCTGGGAGAAGGGCGGCCAGGAAGTCCCTTTCCTGGGCTGGCCCCGTCCCAGGCGCACGTGGCTGGGGAGCCATGCGGGGAAGCCCCGGGATCCCCGCTGGGAGCAACCCCCCGGAGCCTTTGCTGAGTGGGCCAGCCCTCCCGTAAGCCACAG